GATGAAAGCTCTGTCGTATCTTCTCCCCGAAAAGGATAGGTCACAGTGATACCAGTGTTCCACAGACCTGGCAGTGCTGCTCAATCCCCTGGAGACTAACTTATTTACAGTCTCTTGTTTGAAATTTCAGCAAATCTCTTTATGAGCACTCCAAGGACTTCATCGTGTCCCTTGTCCTAGGAAAGGATGTGATTCCCAGGTTGGTCTGCTCGGTGGTTGGTCAGCGGGTTGGGGCAGTTGAACATACCAACTGTTGAGCGTGGTCTGATTTTTTGCTGAACAGGTTAAGCGTGACCAACTTGGAGGATCTGAAGAAAAGAATCTTACGAGTGATCGCTCACTGTAATAAGCCGAAGGTAATCTGGGTGCCTGTGTGCCAGGCATCTGCAGGAAGAGGTGTTGAGCTGTGTGAATCCAGCCTCTCAACCCAACGCATATGTGCTGTTGCTGCAGGTTCTTTTTCCAGCCTCAAAACAGGTTTCTAAGATTCCTCTGTGCTGTGTAAGACAGCAAAAGGCCAGACCCAGTCTGTGAAGCACCACAGTTAGGACTGCCAGAACCATCCCTGTTCAGTTACGTGCTCTGTCAGACTTCATAGTCCTGTCTTGTGACGACAGTCTTCTGATGCTCTTGATTATACTGTCCCCAAGGTTAGGACATTAGGCCACCAAAGACAGATTTTAAGAGGTACTAGTATATCCACACTGGATTTAATGGTTGTTAACGGTGGTGATAAAGGCCTGGAGTGTAGCTCAGTGTACAGCGCTTGCCTAGCATGCACACGGACCTGGTTCTATCCCTGGACTACATAGCAAGACCCTGGCTCAAAACTCTTAACGATTTAAAAAGGTAGGAGGAGATACAGCTCCACGGTAGAGCGTTTGTCTAGCATGTGTGAGCTCCTCAGTTTGATCCTTGGTACAACAAAAAAAGTAAGCAAGTAGGCTTGAAAATCGTTCTTAGAAACATGAGCCCAGGCAGGAGGGAGGGACAAGGAGCTAGATTATGGATGGATGTACAGTGAACTTCGACAGACTTTGAAAAAAATGTGTATCAGAATGTGTTTTTACCTGGATAATAGGGTTGCTGATGGTTTTGACTTCTTTAAGTTACCTGAATTGATTGTTTTCGTTGCTAATCAGGTGAAAAATTAAATCTGTTCATCAGTCATTCTCCCAAACTCCTTAGAAAGTGGCACTTAGTGGGTGAGGATGTAGCTCAGTGGTGGAGCATGTGCTTGTTTCACTCCTCTACAACCTTTTCCCCCCAAAAGAAAGAAAAAAGGCAGTAATTTCTAATATCCTTAATAGCAAATAAAACCAATTTACAAAGTTACTTAAGTTAAGAGTAATTTGGGCTGGGGACGGAGCTCAGTGGTAGTGTTTCCTAGCATGTGCCAGGCCTCTAGCACACAACACACTAAGGGTAATTTTTCAAACGATGAATATGTGGTTTAAAATATGGCTACAAGTATAATGGCTTTGCCCCCAAGAGGCACCCCTCCCTTGTGATCCATTTGGAGTGGGAGGACAACCTACACCCTGAGGGTTGCTGCCACGCTGCATAGCCCTGCCCTAGGTGCGGCCTTGCCGAATGAAGACCAACATCCTCTTGTCTTGGTCTCACCCTCAGTACAAGATCTTGCTGCAAGGCTGCTGGTATGAACTGTTTGGAGGAAGCCCTGATAACTTCCCCACTGAACTGGACGGAGGCGACCAGGGACACCTGACACAGCCTCTTCTGGGGGAGCAGAGTCTCCTGACACACTGGTCCCCGGCATACAGCTTCTCCAGTGACTCCCCGCTGGACTCTCCCACCAAGTACCCCCCACTATACCCCCCTGGCAGGATCATCCACCTGGAGGAAGAGGGAGCTTCTGGGAGGTGAGTGCAAGGGCATACAGGCCCCAGGGTGTCTGCTTACCACCAAGGAAAAGCTGAGCTCCTTGAAGCTTTGCTAGGTGCTGTTTGTGTTTTATTATTATTATTATTATTTTTTTTGGTGGGTACCGGGAATTAAACTTAGGACCTTGTGCTTGCCAGGCCGGTGCTGTACCACTGAGTTATTTCCCCAAGCCCGTTTTCTTTTCTATTGAAGGTTTGGCTGCTGTTCTGCTGCTCAGTACAGGGCGAGGTGGGCACATGAAGCAGAATTCAGCAGAATACTCATAGGCCCAAAGATGCTCACTGACCACATGCCGGACATCCTACTGAGAGCCCTGGACACCATGGTCGCCGACAGAGCAGCCTGTCTCTCCTGTCCAGGGCAAGGGGTCTCTAGTGTGGCCGTGGCATGACCGGGCCTACTGGAAGCTGCCCCAGAACAATGGACATGTTTGTTCTAGAACTGTGCAAGTGACATCAATGAGGCCTGTATCTGGATGTCTGTGGACAGAAATCTGACTGGCCTTAAATTCAGTCAGCTTTGGATGACTGCAGTCTATGGGAGCTACTTTTGATCACAGTATTAGCGGGGTCAGGAGCCTGGGTGAGGACCAAGGCGATGCAATTTCTGCATTGTGTGGAGGAAGACCACCTCCCCATGGCCACCTGAGAGCTGCCTCAGAAGAGAATGCAATAGCGTCTGAAGACCCTCACCCGACCTGTAGCCTCCCGTCAGGGTCTTGTCCTGCCGCAGCTTAGCTGTCTGAACTTGGGTGGCAGGTATGTGGCTTACTTTTCACAAAGGGCTCCTTCCTCCTGGGCGGCCCTGTGTGCCAGCTGCAGATGAAGATAAGAGGTTGGAAGGTGAAGAAAACCACACCTTCTCACTGGCCTTCTGGTTACTGTCGAGGTGTTTCAAACCATAAGAATGGAATAGTAATTCTGCCTCTGGGGCCTGCCAGTGGGTTCAGAGGGAGTTAAAAAAAATAAAGCGTTTATACATCGAGAGTGTCTGCACAGTAATGTTTCAGATGTCCCTTTATTGAGTGGTTTCATAGCATTCGTGTTGTTTCCTTTGCACTGTGAACAACAAAAATAAAATCTGGTGTCCTGGCTAGACTTAAGATTGCACAACCATCAGAATTACCCGCCTAACAAGATGAGTTGAGGATTCCTGTCAAAAAGATGGCTTGAGATTAAATCCCAGTGGGGAGGGAAAGCTCAAGTTCACCACAGGTTCCCACACTGAGCAGAGGTGATGAAGCGGCCTAACAGGGAGGGTCTGCTGGGAAGCTGGAGAAAAACTGGCCCGTCACTGTGGTTGGAGGGTGGGGAAAGGGAAGGACCTTCCTCAGACCCTCCCACTCCTAAGCCCGCTGGGGAGATGTCTCTAGGGAAATCTCATCTCAGGAAGCTTTGCTTGGAGCCCTCAGTTGCAGGAGCACACCTCCTTAGAGCTTTGGAAAACCTGCAGAGGGCTATTTTAAAAAACCTTCAGTTGCAGTATCATGGCACAGCGCAGACTAAACGTAATTCCTGCCCCTCCCTAAGGGCAGAAAGGTAAGAGACTTGGACTAGAGTCACCACCCAGTGCGCCGTTTCCAACCAACCCAAAGCATAACCAAAGATCGTCAGGACACCTGAGGGACAGGAGACCAAAAGTAACAGTGTAGGTATCTGCTGCGAACTCCAGCTGCAGCTGAGGACAGAGAAAGCACTGCAGCCTCAGAACTGACCCAGGCGGCTGGAAAGCATGTATGTAGAGGGTGAGCAAGAACACTTGAAAACTGAAAGTGGAAATGCAAGGAAGCATTATAGGAGGTAATAGTTCTAGAACAGAAAACTGAAACATGTTTCCGAAGCACACCAAGCACAGGGCACAATAAATACACGCTAGGGCAAGGAAGGCAAAGGAATTCTCACAAGATCTGTAACGTAGAGTACATGCCAATGTAATGGAAAGGGGAAAAAAGAAGTGTAACTAGTTATCACTAACCTAGACTTGTAAACCTGGCCCAAAGTACAGTATCATCGTGGAATGGCAATTTTTCAAAGATGCGAGAGCTCTGTAATACATAGGAAGCTCTTGGAAAAGGTATTAGGACAAAGAAGTAAAAGATGGAGCTGACATGCAGGAAATGAAAGCTGAAAGAGATGATACTGAGGCTTAGCAAAGATACAAACACGTAATACATCTTGAGATATCAGACAACAAATGCAACTTCACAGCTGAATTGTTACACACACACAAAACTAAGCACTAATTTATCCCAAAGGAAACCACAAGTGCAGGACAGGCAGGGTGGCACAGTTATAAGCAGCTAACTAGGTAACACATAAGCAAGCCACGGTACTGAGACCAGGAAAGGTGTTGGAGGGTGGAGAAGGCCTCTCCTTTTAACGGCAGGAATGTCACTGGCAAGGGCTAAATCTGAGGTTCAGTTAGCAGGAAAAGCATGTAATTTAGACATGTGGAATAAGTATCACAAACTACACAAAGTGTTGCTTCTGGCAAGGGTACAAACAGGTAAGACTGCTGCTTTTGTAACAAACTTACGTGTTTTGCTTTTTATGGTGTTAGGCACCCTACCACTGAGCTATGCATCATCAGGCCCTGTAACTTTGAGAACAGTTTGTATTTTTAAGCTCATTTACCTCTGATTAAAAAAAAAAAAAAACACTCAAATAGAAGAGGCTTCATGAAAACTGATTCTAACACATGAAACTTCTTATGTGTAAGTTTAGGCTCTGGTAAAGGTAAGTTCGTGTAGTCCACCCAACCTCTGCATCAAGCTATGCAAAGCTAAGCCTGGCTCTCAACACTGGCATCTTCAGCCCTGAGCTGTGGCCCAAGAAGCAGGCACATGCAGAAGCCTGCCTGCCCCAACCTGGGGCAGCACCTTGCGACAACTCAACAAGCCCCAACACAAACCCCACTGGCCACCCCCACTGTACTGCTCAGTTATGGACTTGCCCACCTTTTCCCCTAGAGGTGGCACTCCCTCCTTCCCTCCAACTTAGAATGAACACGTCCAGCAACCCTGGATTTTAAAGTGAACCAAACAAACACCAAGAGCTTGTTCATCGAGTTCTCAAAAATTCAAGTATTACCAGTCATATGATTCAAGGATTTATTAAGTCATACATGCAAAACATACTGCTAATTGCATTAGCAAAAAGATCAATGTAAAAACACTCCACAATTCTGCAACTGTCAATTAAAAAAATTTTGTTCTAGTGGTTGAAAGGTCTGACATTGTGTCCTCGCCAGTGAGTTAAGTTGTACAGAACATCATTAGCACTAGCACAGTTTACAGAACCTCACAGACCCAAAGGAGCATTGTTAGGCAAAGCCACGACAGGAAGCATGTGTCCGTGTGGGTGAGGTAAAGAGGGTCAAGTCAGTATTAGTCACGTGACAGTGTTGGTACTCTGGCAAGACAGTGATGTTAAGAAGGTTCATAGTTTTAAGAATATCTAAAATATTTTAAAAACTGTAAAGCTGCAACACATGATTTTTACATCTAGTTACTAGAAGACTAAGGAAAGCATTTAATTAGCTTTGAATAAAGTAACATGAAAACAGGAATGCACTTCTACTCATCTACAAAAAAACTTCTAATGCATTATCAGAAAGATTTTATAGTACAAATAGGCATATTGCTCATTAAGAAGGGGTTCTTTTAGAAAAGCACTAAGTTAGCAACTATGGGAATGACCAGTTCAAAGATGAATTAAATGCCCAATTTTGGGAGGGATGACCAAGGCTAGGAAAAAGAAAAAGCTTGAGAAAAGACACTTATTAATACCAACCTTTCTTCATCATCTACTGCATTTGACAGAAATTAACCTTAAAAATCTTTACCCGTGACACTTTTTATTGTTATTTCACATACAATGTAGTGTAAATTAATCTCCACTTCATCTTTTGTCAAAATACTGTCTTCATCCTTTGATCTTGTCGTGTTTCACACTCCACCCAGCACACCCACGACTAAGAACAGAATACTTGATTAGAGCAAACACGGGAATGAGAGTTCTGTTCAAAGTCTCAGCAAAAGCTAGTAAACTGATTAAAAAAAAAAACCCTCACTATAAAATCAAAAAGACTGATCCGAAGAGTGAGCTGTTACACCCATTCCATTAAGACATACAGTACGAAGGTACAGAATGAACATGGGCTGAGAAGTTACTGACGTGTTACACAGCAACATGTCACTAAGGAAGCTGTTCTGCTTCACTCGATCTGCAAACTACTTGGACAGTGTCTGCGCCTCCTGATCTCAGAAGTTGCAGTCTTCTTACAAAGGTTGTTCAACAGTTTAGTGCTTAGTGTTCTTAGCACAACACCACAACTTAGTTCAGAAGGTATTTTGGCAACTTTTAATCTGAGCAAGGGTAGGGGCTTTTGAAAAATAAGGCTTTAAGAAGGCTTGTCATTTTAGGGCTAAATTTTAATATGATGTGAGTTTGAACTCGTACATTTAAAACAAAACCTTAAAATTACTGATTGGTTCAAAATGGTTTCATGGAAAAATTAATCTGTAACAAAAACTTGGCATTGAGTGCGAAGAAGGCTCCACCGTTTTTTGAGCAAAGCGTACAAAGGTTCCAAGGGAAGGACCAAGAAATAAGGACTTGGACATTTACAACAGCAGGCATTTTCTCTTCCTCTTCTTGACAGGAGGTGGGCAGAGAACTGCTCGAATAGCTTCATCAAACACTGTCTTGAGGCCTCGTTGGGTGAGAGCTGAGCACTCCAGGTATTTTACAGCACCTGTAAAAAATATGGCCACACGGCAGTGTAACACAGGACGCAACCGCTCTGATCAGCACAGCAGTGAGAGGCAGCTCCCCTGGGGCCGCACCTGGCACAGCACGGCAGGGCCAACTCCCACCCCTGCCTGCACTGCCCCACAGGGACCCCACGGGCCAGATGGCCTTGTTTAGCGGCTTCCCCAAAAGTAAACCAGACCAGACCCTGAGAAGGAGAAACACTCTGCTTTCCCAAACTGGACTCTTATCTGTCAACAAGAATAAAAGTGGACAAGAGCAAGGCAGGGTTTCATACCGATCTCCTTAGCCATGGCCAAACCCTGCGGGTAGGTGATGGGAGTCAGCTTCTTTTCCTTCAGTTTCTCGATGGTGTCTTTATCATCCCTAAGATCAAGTTTTGTTCCCACAAGGATAATAGGAGTGTTGGGACAATGGTGTCGCACTTCCGGATACCACTGTATACGAATAAAGAGCAAAGGCTGTACTACTCTCCTCCTTTACAGATGGCCTCCACCAATTTACACAGAACAGATGCCCAACTGCGCCCAGCACGCTGCTCGGCCACCACTGCTCCAGACCCTCCATGTGCTTCACACCTTCCCCACATCCCTAAAGAGCCACGAGGACTTTCCAGCCAGGACCCTCCAGGTTTAGGACCTGAGATTTAGGACCTGTAGAACAGCCACTGCCTGTCAAGGGACTGGAGGAAGAAAAGGCGACAGCTGAGAGAAGAAGGGAGAAAGGAAGGTACCCTAAGAGGAAAGCACTTTGTTTTGGAGGAAACAAGTCAATTCTTAGGGCCATCTAAAAAAAAAAAAAATTATCTATTTAGAGGTGAGAGTACACAAACTACCCAGGGGAGCTCGCATCTCTGTCACCACTGTCCCCAGTGAAAACACTCCTGATCGCAAGAACAAAAGCATCTCTCACTTGCTAAAAGATGTCGGAGTAAAGCTGTAAGCAACCTGTATTCTAAAGCCATATGCTTAAAAACTCATGATATTAAATTAGTTAAACATATAAAAACTAATCTAAATAATGACAATTCTTAACAGTAAATGATGTTTTACTTGTAAATACTATTCTTCTCAAAAGTGACACTTGTAACTTTAAATTTTTGCAGTGCTGGGGCTCAAGTCCAGGGCCTCTATCACTGAACTACATTCCCAGCCTTTTAACCATTTTTTAAAATCCTCTAAACTCGAGGCTTTTATAGGAAATCAGATTCAAATAGAGACCATACTCATAAGTGAAATAAATTGGACCCACATGTGTAGACATCATGTTGTCTCCACACAAAAGAGTTAAATGGAGGTCAGGCGTGGTGGCGCATGCCTGTAATCCCAGCACTAGGGAGGCTGAGGCAGGAGGATCGTTGCGAGTTCAAGACCAGCCTGGGCTACAAAGTGAGCTCAAGG